CTGGGGGGTGTTTGGGGGTCTCTGGGGGGTGTTTGGGGGTCCCTGGGGGTGTTTGGGGGTCCCTAGGGACAGAGGATGGAGAGTTGGGGGGGTCTCTGGGGGGTGTTTGGGGGTCCCTATGGGGTATTTGGGGGTCTCTGGGGGGTGTTTGGGGGTCTCTGGGGGGTGTTTGGGGGTCCCTATGGGGTATTTGGGGGTCCCTGGGGGGTGTTTGGGGGTCCCTATGGGTGCGGGATGGGGTTTTTGGGGGTCCCTGGGGGTGTCTGGGGGTCCCTGAGGATGTGGAATGGGCTGTTCGGGGGTCCCGTGCAGCTTCCACACCCCCTGTCCCCCCCTCCCCTTCCCTCCAGAGCCCCCCGGTACCCCCAAAACATCCGCCCGCATCGCCCGGCACCTCTCCGGTCTCCGTGGAGCTCTCCCTTCCCAAACTCCCCAAAAAACCCCCGGGAGCCCCCAGCCCAGCAGCGGAGCCCCCCCGAGCCCGCCTCACCGTGCGGGAAGCGGCCGCGGCCCGCTCGGAGCCCCCGGCCGCCCCCCGAATCCCCCCGGCCGCCCCCCGAATCCCCCCGGCCGCCCCCCGAATCCCCCCGGCCGTGGAGGTGGCGGCCCCCAAACCCTCCCTGGGGCTCAGCGCCCCCCAAATCCGCCCGGGGAAGGGGGGACCGGACACCGGAGGGGATGAGGAGGGGGCTGCCGGCTCCCGGGGGGGGTTCCCGGCGCTGCGGGTCCCCTCGGTGCCCATCGATGCTCCCAAAGCCGCCGTGGAGCTGCTGCCGGAGCTCGGGGGGGCCGGGGGGGAGCCCCCCGCTTTTACCGGGGGGTTCCGCAAGCTCAGCCGCCAGCTGGAGGCTCCGGAGGTGGAAATCACCCCGAAACCCCCCAAATTCCGCCTCCCCCGCCTGGCTCGGGCTCTGGCCAAGCTCCGGGAGGGCGGCGGGACCCCGCCGGTGCCGCCCCCCGGGATCGCCATTCCCAGCGTGGAATTGGGTCTGGGGGATGCGGGGCTCAAGCTCAAGGTGCCCAAAGTGTCGCTGGCGGCTTTTGGGGACACCGAGGAGGGTCCCCGCGGCTCCGGGGGGGCTCCGGGCTCCCCCCGGCTCCGCTCCCCGCGTTTCGCTCTCGGAGCGAAATTTGGGGGCTCCAGCCCCGACCTCCGCCCCGGGGGGGTCCCCAAAGCGCCCCCAAAACGGGGCGGCAGCGCCGAGAGCCTGATCCTGGGCTGGACCGCAGCGGAGCCCCCCGGGACCCCCCGCGCCGGGCCGAAATCTCGGGGGGCTCTGGCCCGGATCCCCCTCCCCAGCGTGGGGTTCGCCCTGCCGGGAGCGGCCCCGGAGCCCCCCGAGGCTCGCGGGGTCCCCGAGCTGAAGGTGCCGGTGCTGGAGTTGGTCCCGCCGGGTTTGGACGGAACCTCGGAACCCGCCGGGCGCCGCTTTGGGGTGAAACTCCCCAAATTCGGGGCTGGCTCCTGCGGGAGGATGAGGAGGGGCGGCTCCAAGGCTGAGGAAGGAGGAGCCCCCCGCGATGGGAACCCCCGGCGCCGCCGGTGGGTGCCCAGGGTGGGCTTCACCCCCGGGGGGGCCTCTCCGGAGCCCCCCAAAGTGGGGAGGATGCGGCTCCCCGATGTCGAGCTCTGCCCCGGGGGGGACCCCCAAACCCCCGCAATCGGGGGGATCCCCTCCCGCTGCCATCCCGGGGGGCTCCGGACCGAGGGGACCCCCAAATTCCAGCTGCCGCAGCTGGTGCTGAGCCCCCAAATCTGCGGCCAGCCTTGAGCCCCCTCCCAGCCTGGGGGGGGGGCTTTGGGGACCCCCCCAAAGCGGTGACTGAGCTCCCCCAGACCCTCTCTAACTCCCCCCTCCCCTGAATTCCTAATCCAGCCTTTTTTTGGGGGGTGGGCTTTGAGGATTTTTCGCCTGTTTTGGGGGTGTTTCTATTAACCAGGGAACGGGGGGGGGGGGGGGGCTCAGGATTGTCCCCCCCCCCCCCCCCCCCCCCCCCCCCGCCCTCTGCGG